TATCTATGTGATAAGAGTACGAATTTATATTTTCTGTAAAACTTAAACACGATATGCTAGTAATATTCTCTAAAAATGTGAGTAAAATAAACAAAAACATAGTTTTTAACCAATAAATTCTCTTTCATAAAACGTGACTACTTTTCGACATAACGAGTGTATCCACCTAAATGGTAAACGTGGAATACGACCGCCGCCGAGGCGTACGAATATGTGACGTCACACCTAATCGACGTTTCTAGCGAAGAGTCGGAAAGGACAATCGAGCAGGTCGAAAATTGATTTTGTGTACCAGGAGAACATGCGGACAACGTCGACGCGCCACAGTGGAATAATAACGTCGAACCATTCCCGCCATTTTACCGAATTATGTGTATTATCGTAATTATTGTACATACTTTATCATGAGAAATATATGTAATTATTTTACTTTAGGCCGTGGCCCGTATTGAAGATAAATAAAATATATTTATGTGTCCCACTGTGTTCGACCGATTTTTTTTGAACTGTTAATATTAAATATTTTTTGTTTTTGTTTTTTTTTTTTTTTAATTGTTTTTATTCAAAACATTAAACTATTATAATTATTTTATATTTGTTATTTTATTTGAAGGACATTTTCTAATTTTGTTTACGTAGTTTTTCTTTGATTGGTGCGAAAAATTATGTGGATAATTCGTTTAAAAAATTTACATTATTTAAAAAGGCAATAATAGAAATTTCAAGTCTCCGCGAATATGTGTAACTGAATCAAACCTGAAAACAAAATTAAAAATATTAAAACAATTATCTTCCCGTATTTCTTACGTTTTATCCCCGGATATCTCAGATATTATGAAAACCGCTTGGAAAATCAAAATAGCCTACGCATCAACGCAAAGTTTTTCCGGTTGGTAGTTTTTAAACAGTATAAAAAATATATACATTGTAAAACTAATAGACATTTTTCGCTACGCTCAGAATCTAAGAGTTATAAGGTAAAGTGTACTACATTATGGGTCCGAGTTCTCTACGTCCACTATTACCGCCGTGAACTGCAATGCAATGAGTACGGCGGCGCGTAGATGTCTAACCACATGATATCCTGGTACTTTATTTTATAGTTTTTTGATGAATGCTGTTTATTAATTTCGGCCTGCAGTGCTACTGCGTATTGTTTTTATAAAAAATTGTTTTACCTTCGAATCCTTGAAACAAACATGAATGCTTGAAATAACGACATAAAGTTATTATGAAATACCAAAATACCGAAAATTCAAAATCACGATTTTAAATGTTTTACAATATTATTAATGTGTTTTCTTTTACATCAGATATAGTGTGGATCTCCGAAGAATTTCCATTTTTTATTTCATGAAAATTGAGTCAAACCAGAAAAAAATTAAAAATAAAGGGAAATTTGATGGTTTTATTATTTTCAATTTTATTCAAATTAAAAAGTTTTTTTTTCTTTTATATATTGCGGCGTTGATTCACAAGTAAAATGCCGAAAGAACGATGTAAAAAAAAAACAAGTTAATTATTATTTTAATAAAATTCTTGACTTTTTTAATTATTATTTATTAGATTTGTTTTGTATATGATAATAAATTTTGATTTTGTAAAGTATTTAATACATTTTTTTGCATACCAGTAAATATTATTTTGACATTAGGACAATGCATGGACAAATAAATACATTTT